TCTGGAGAGACAGGACATCATCAAGGCCATATTCGGCACTGGCCCTATGCACCACCCACCGCCGCCGTCCTACCTGGACCTGGCCTCCGCTCCCCCTTCTCCAGCCTGGGGTTTGAGGCCTCGCAGTATGGAGTGTGGTCAGGCAGGGGCTCACCCTTCTTGGGCGGGGTACTCCTCACGCTCAGCTGCAGCTGGCTGGTGTATTTCTCATGCTGCGGGTGGCAGGAGGACTGAGGGGCTGGCCCCTCCCTGACCCCACAGGGCAGATAGGACAACCCCAGTGACCGGGGAAGGAGTGGGTCCCACAGCTCAGACTCCCGCCCCATGTGGGCCCTCAGGATGGTCTGGGAGGCCAGAGCAGGCCAGCTCTGGCCCCACACAGTGGGGAGAGGATCAGAGGAAGGGGGGCAATGGCAGGTGTGTGCCCGTGCATGTGTTGGTGAATGTGCACACCTGTGTGTACATGTGTCTGGGTGTGTGCTGGGCACTGCACCACCCACAGGGTCTAAGTACTGGACCCCCCATGACTGAGCAGGGCAGTCTCTTGCTCAGCAACTCCAGTCTTGGCTGTGCCGCTCAGAGCTGGGTGCTCTGAGCAGGCCACTCTTAGCTGTGTTGCCCACAAATTACTAGGGACGGGCTGAGATGGCCCAGGTGACCCAGGGCTCCTGGGTAAAGCTCCACTACTGAAAGGGACTTTGCTCTGCATGGGGGGCTCACAGAACAGACCCTGGCTGCTATTGCCCGATCCACCACCCCCTATACCTGACCTAGGGCTTGGAGGGAGCAGGGACCCAAAGGCTGCCCCTGGACCCAAGGTGGGCTGATCAAGCTCCCCACCCCCAACCCTGGTGTCTAAAGATGCTGGCTGGGCCCAGGGGCCATGGGGGTGGGCAGCTGAAGCCCACTTTTGACCCCACAGGCGAGGAGGGACTAGGATCCCCCAGTGGTCACTTCCCACTCCTCATCCCAGGGCCCTTTGCCCTTCCACTTTCTTGTGTCCAGAGCCATCTGGGCCCCTGTCACCCTGGCAGAACCCTGCACCCTCTTCCAGGCCCCCCACCTCCCAGCATCATCAGGCTCAGGGGTAATAGCCACCTTCCCCCAGGCCAGACAAGGCCATTGGGCAGAGCTGGCCCGGGCAGCTAGCCCAGACTGTGGCCCTGAGCAGCCTGGAATGTTCTCAGGGAGGAGTGGGCCAACATAGGGGAACAGGATATGAGGGCTGCAGGGGCAGGTTCCTCAGGGAGAGGGACCTCGCACTCTAGCTGGACACTGACCTTGAGGGCCTCCTCAGGAAGGCGGTGCTGCACCCGCTCCAACACATACAGATTAGAGTGTGAGTCCGAGTCAAGGTACAAAAGGCCCAGGAAGGGACAGGGCGGGGGAACGATCTGCCCACCTGCAGGCCCATCACGCCTGGCTGGCCTCTAGGCTATGTCCACCTGTCCTGGTCACCTGCAGGCACAACCCCCATCCAGGCCTGCCCACCCCAGTGCCAATCCCTAAGACATGTCCACCCTGCTGTGATCACCTGCAGGCCCAGCCCACTAGCCACTATCCCTACAGCATGTCCACCCGCCATGGCTCCTGAAGGGCCCTAGACATGTCCACGCCACAGGTGAGCCAGCAAGCCATTTCAAGAGGGGAGAGCCAGAGGCCTGCTCATGGTCCTGGCTCTAGCCTGCATCCCATGCGACTTAGAGGGGGGTCACAGCAGGAAGGCAGGCAAGGTGCCAACCAGCAGGGCCCTAAGCCTCCCAACCCAGGTTGCCCCTAAGAGGTTCTGGGATGAGAGCCTCTACCGGCCACCCCCACCACAGGTGTGCCAACCTAGTGCCCGGGAAGGAGGGGCAGTCAGCCCGATGAATCTGGTGGAGGTTCTCCTCCCTGCCCTGCCAGCATCCTGCCCTGGTCGGCCAGGGCTCCAGGACCCTAGTGTCAGGCACCCTGATGCTGAGGCAAGGTATGACCAGGTGCAGAGACCTCAGGTCTGATGCTCAGGTGCAGTGTGACCTGGGGCAGAGGCCATAGCCTGGGCAGGGCAGGCTGAGGTGGCCGCAGCCCCTGGAGTCTTCCCCTGACCACCCCTCCCTGTCCCACCCAGGGGAAGCTGATTCGGAAGGATATCGTAGCCGAAGCGGATAACGTCATTGACCTTCAGCGTGATGTACTTCTGGTCTGGGACGCGCACGTCATTGACAAAGGTCTGAGGAGGTAGAGGTGGTGAATGGGCAGCAGAAGTTTCCAGAGTCCAGAGCCAGGCAGCTCCTCCTAGCTGTGCACTGTGGAGGCACTGCACACCTGAGCGCAGCCCCACCTGGACATCTTAGAAGTACCTCTCTTCGATGCCCCATCCAAGCTGCCCATTCCTTGTGCAAGACCACACCTCGCTCCAGAGCTCCGAGGCATCAGTGGGCGAGAGAAAACACGTGACTCAGAGAGAGGCCTGTGCCCCAAGTGGTAACGAAACAGGTGGACAAGAGACCTTGTTCCCAGAGGACGGAGAAAGTGATCAGCGCCTCCCTGGGGAGCAGCAGGGGTATGTTGGGCAGCGAGGCCCTGGGGGTGGCCCGTGGTGGGCAGAGGCGGGCATGGACTTTGCTACAGGCACAGGGCTGCAGCCACTCCAAGACCTGGCATGGGGACAGTGCTGCAGCGCTGCAGATGGCCCTGCCAGCCTGGGTCACTGGCTCAGTGCATGATGGGCAGCTGGCCAGGCTCCTGGGACACACAGGGCCAGCAGCTACAAGGCCTTCCCTCCCCCTGATGGGGGCCCTCAGGCACGTGGCTGGGAGCATGGGGGAAGGGGATACAACCGAGGGGTGAGGGAGGGTAAAGGAGGGGCCAATAGGCGGGCCAGCAGGGGTGTGTGTGGCAGGCCTGAGTTCTAGCGGAAACAGCTATGGAAACATCATGAGGGACCGATGGCCAGATGACGAGCAAGATATAAAACAGAAGATGGGCTGGGGAAGGCCCTGCCCGCCATGTTCACCACAAGCTAGGTCCCCTCACCTGCCCTCTTGCCCATGTCCATCTCAGACACCTGCCCTCCACCTCCCCTAGCCTCCCAACTGGGAGTAACCACAGGTCACACACCAGTCAGGGCACCCAGCACGCAGGGTCCATCTCCAGCCTGCGTGGCCTGGCTGTTCGAGGCCTTTGCTGCCCCCAAGAGCCGCCTACTCACACCTTGCCCTGGAATAGATTACGGGGGTCCTGGGCGGGGCTGAGAAGGGGCGGGGCCAGGCAAAGGGGTAGGCCCCCAGGGGGTGGAGCCAATCAGAGGATGGGTCTGGGTGTGACCACATCCGAGGGGCGTGGCCAGCAGAGGCGCATGCTAGAGCTGAGGGCGGGGCCTGCGCTGGCACTCACCCCATTGAGGCTGCCCAGATCCTTCACACAGTGCTCATCCCTGTCCTGGTCGTAGTTGATGACGGCGTGCTGTTTGTCCACACTGCGAGACTGGCAGAAGCACGGGTACAGGCTCAACACCACCAGGAGAGACCCTCCTCCAGCCCCCACATACCAGTGCCAGCCCTGGACCTTCCAGATCTAGGAGTCAGGCTCCCAAGGTCGTCCCCACACCCAGTGTGTGCACCCCAGAAAGCTCACCTGCCCTGCTCCCCACTGGCATGGACCACAGGGAGCTGTCCAGCCTCCAGGTCCCAAGGACCCTACCTTGGTGAGTTCCCTTCCTCCCATCCACCCTTCAGGTGAGCTGTGGGAGGGGCAGGGCACCTATCATCAGAGACTATTCACATCCAGAAGGAGCCAGGGGCTATCGAGATCCTAGAGAGGCAGACATGCATACACACACACACACACACACACCCAAGTCCTTGCACACACCCACAGTTTCACACACAGCAGCTCACACACACATGCATACACTGCATCACACACCCCTACACAGCCGTGCACACACGGCAACTCACACACCCAGTACATGGGGCAGCTGTCACACAGCACACACACTCTCCACACACACAGCCCTGTGTGCACACGCAGCATCTTTTCTCCTGCCCTGCACACCTGAGCACACTCAGCCCCAGTGGGCAGCTCCACCTCACAGAGCATCACACCCTCCCTTCCCACCAGCTCTGAGCCCCCATCTCCACCAGGGTCCTCTCATGCCCACAGACCCAGATGCCCTTGGTCTCTGAGGGAAGCAGCTATCCTGACCACCACACCCTTCCCAGGCTGGTCCAGCAACTCCTGTGGTCAGGGAGCCCTTGGCCAACACCAGCTCTGCCTCCTGCACAGGGCAGACCCTGCATGCCTCAGAGACCCCCCTGCCAGAGGGGGTGCCCCTCCCTGCCAGCCCATAGGCTGCCTGCCCCCAAAGGCCTGGGAAAGACAGGTCTGCCAAAGGCAGTGGTTCTCAACTTTCCTAATGCCACTACCCTTTAATAGAGTTCTTCATGTTGGGGTGACCCCCCCAACCACAAAATTATCTTCGTTGCTACTTCATCACTGCCATTTTGCTACTGTAATGAATCGGGCGACCCCTGTGAAACGGTTGTTTGAACCCCAAAGGGGTCGAAACCCACAGGTGGAGAACTGCGGGCCTAAGGGCTTTACGCCTGTGCTCACAGTCCTGCCTCCTGCCAGCTCACCCCGCTTCGCGGCCACAGGGTCTGGGCTGTGTGCACAGGGCCCCGGTGTGCAGGCTGTGCTCAGGCGGGGGAAGAGCAGACTCTCAGATACACAGACCCCCCAGGAGCATGCTCACATTTCTCCTCACAGGCACTCACACATGCATGCACATGACACGCACACCATGACACATGCCCTCACAATCCCCCAGTGTACAGTCATGGACACATGTGCATGTGGGCAAACAACATGTACTTCATGCATATACATACCAGGAGCAATATACATGTGCACTCGGGTGTGACCCATGCACCTGTGCACACATGAGCCAACACACACTTGCACACTGTCCCCCCCCACCCCCACCCCGGCGGCTCCACACCAGGCACCCCAGCTCCATCCCTCCCTCACACGTGTATCCTCATGGGCACGAGCTGTGAGCAGGGCATGGAGGTGAAGCTAGAACCCCCAGAGGGCGGGCCAGCAGTAGGCCCCCGGGGCAGGGCTTCAGGGCGGCATATGGCGCAGCTCTGCCTCCAGCCCCGGCCCCTCTGCCTGCTCAGGTCCACTCCAATGCCCACTACTTCCTGGGACATAGCCTCTCCTGGTGGCCACCAGAATCAGGCCACCTCCCCAGGCCACCCCAGATTTCTCAGCCCGCCCCCCTACCCACCCAATAGCAGAAGTGTTTCCAGCAGCACCAACTCTGCAGGGGGTTGGGCACAACACTGGGCAGTCAGAGCCACGGCCTCTTGCTCTCCAGAAGGAGGCTGCAGGGGGCAGCCCAACTCTCCCACAGCTGATGGACGCTCGGACATAGGGGAAGGAATAACACCTAGCTCAGGCCTACCTGGCCCCTTGGGACTAGAAACCAGGGGCTGGGGCCATACTCAGTCTGGCCTGCACCCCAGTGCCAGGCATCTCCCCAACACCCAGTCAGAGAGCAGGGAGAGCCCTACCTTACATAGGCCCCTGCCTGCAGATGCCCCTACTGCCTGTAGGCCCCCTGCCTCTAAGCCCCCTCCCTATCCACAGCCCCGTGCTCAGAAGGTCTCCACCACCCAAGACCCCACATCTGGACCAGGTGGGTCCCTGCAGGGTGGCTCAGTATAGCCTTGCTCACACATTCCAAGCACGGCCGTGAATCCAGGCTGAGACCCTGGGTGATGGTTCCCAGGGCTCCGAGTCCAGCCCATCCAGCCTTGTCCCCAGAGGACACCCTTCTGTCCAGCTCGAGGCTGCTTTAAACGGCCCCCAGCTCCATTAGGACATGTGTGGGGCCAGGCTGGCAGGACCTCTGCTGGTCCCCCTCCTGCCCCAAGACCGAGCGGGACAGCAACCCCTCTGGGAGGTGGGCTGGGCAGAGTGGCGTCTCCAGGCCCTAGTCAGAAGGGCCAGGCCAGCAAGGACAGGCAAGATGTGCACTGGGCAGCCTGCTGTGTAGACCTGTCCTGGCTCCTGCCCTGCAGGCACCACTAGCGTGGCCCGATCCCTTCCCCGTGCCCTCCCCCTGCTCAGGAACCCCCTCACCTGAAGCATGAGCTCACACTCATCGCGCCCCACGAAGATGAGCTCCCGAGGGAGCCGGTGACGTGTGCCCCCGCTGCTCACCAGGAACCAGGAGGTGACGCTCATTTCGCCGGCCCTGCAGGGAGGGCACTTGTCGGACTGGGAGTGGAGATGGGGTGCACAGACCCTGGCCCTGCGAGCCTCTCCTCCTGAAACATTGCCCCCAGCCTCTGCAGGCTTCCCTTCCCCAACATGTTCACCCCCCTTCCTGGACTCCCCTCCTGGCTCTTGACCCACTTGCCCCCTGATCCTCAGCCCCTGCCTTCCTGACCCTCGGCCCACCTTCCTGGCCCTTGGTCCTGCCTTCCTAGCCCTCAGCCTACACCCCCTGGCAGCCCCACAGCATCTGCTCCCTTCCAAGCGCTGGCTGTGGAATGACACCAGTTTGGGACGTTGCCACATGTTACCTGTGTGTGGACCCAGGTGAGTGGGCTGGAAGGCAGCCTGAGCCTAGAGGCTCAACCTCCCCAAGACCAACCTCTCCCCAAGGGCTGGGGTGTGTCTGGAGTCAGACTTGGCCACAGCACACTGAGGCCCTGACTGAGGGGGGTGACAACTACAGTGATTGGCTCTGCTGGGTGGTCAGGGGAAGATGGGCAGGGCCAACTGAGCCTGGGACACCTGGACTGCACTTGAGGCACCCAAGGTTTGTCCTGGGTGAGGGTGGGAAGGGTCCCTGAGGGCTCCAGGGCCAGCCAGTGCAACATCAAATTCAGCCTCTGGTGCTCCCGTCATTGCAAGAGGGTTTCAAAGAGGGTCAGGTGGGGTGGGGCAGCACTGCACAAGGAGGCCTGTGGAGCTGGCCCCAAATGCCCAGTATGGTGGTGGGGGTGGTGCACTGACCACCAGAGGAGTGAGCAGTTGGGAGGAGCGGTTGGGCCTGGACTCGAGGGGCCGGTGACCCCAGGGTCAGTGGGGTGAGCAAGGAAGAGAGAGAGAGGGTCTCCCAGGGTCTGTGGAGCGGTGGGCAGGGTGGGGGCACCAGCAGCAGGTGCAGGGCCTCAGGGAGGGACACAGACCAGTGTGCTAACCTCCCTGAAGTGCAGGGCTTACAGACAAGGTCACACCTGCCCCCATCTCTCAGGGAGGGGCCGGGCCCTGTCCCTGCAGTGCCCACAAGCAACTCAGCCAGTTGCCAGCTCCTAGTGGGGTGGAGGGGCAGGGATGAGGCCAACACTAGCCCCGCCCACCTGTGAGTGCCCAGGTGCCCAGGGAGGCAGGTGAGGGGTGTGGGAACCCCCCACCAGGGAGAGAGACCTCAATAGCTGACCACAGACCCCTGTGGGCCCTCAAGGTCCAGCCTGTGGGATGGGCGCTGGGGACATGGCAACCTCCTGGGAAGACTCCGGGTTGGGGGCTGGGTGAGACAGCAGGGAGTCCCCATGACTCCTCCCCCTCCCCCATCCGGCCCCCAGCGCAAACCCCACGCCAGGTGAGCATGGAGACCCCAGCCCACAGAGCCGCAGCCGCCATGCTGAAGGCAGAAGGGCCCTGGCCCTTTGAGCCTGTGTGTCCCCAGTCGGAGGTGCGGGCCGAGCGGCCTGGTGCAGGGCCTGGCTGCCGCGTAGCTAGCAGGGTGGATCATCAACGCCCCAAACTTGGCCCCGCCGCCCTGCCAGGAGGGCCCCCCACCCCGCCGACTGGGCTGCAGAGGCTGGTCAGGGGCCTGGACGGGCGGCGGTGGCCGCAGCAGACGGCGGGGCAGGGCCCGGCCGAGCGTGGAGGCAGGCACATCGGTAGAGACGCGGCGACGGGAAGGAGCGAGGGAGGAGGAGGAGGAGGAGGGCGGAGGGAGGGACCGGGAGCAGGCCACCAGGCCGGGAGGCGGCGGCGGCCGGGGAGGGAGTGCCAGCCCGCGGGGAGGGCGCGGC